TGTGAAATCAACGAATCAGGAGGACAATGCGATCGGTCCAGAGATCATACGTAATTCGCAGGGTGCGCTCGAGCACGAGAAACCCGGAAAGGTGGGTCCGTTAATGTTTCGCGGTTTCTTAATAATCGTCCGCGTTGGAAATATTTATCGGCGAAAGCATCAAAATAGGTCAATTGCGCGATGAAGGAGAGGGGATCTCGGTTACTCTTGCCTACTTCTTGCAATTAAAAAAAGTAACAATAAAAAGTTTTCCCTCGCCACTGCGTATTTGTATGTACATTGCACGCGAGGAAATCGGCATGTATTGGCTTTATCACGATTGTATGAATGCATGTCGATAGAGAAACCGCATCGCCTTTCTAATTAAAACTACAAGCAACCGAACCGTATAATAAGAGGCGTTTAAATCTCTTTATCGTCAGGAAATCATATGCCACGCACCCGGTATGAAAGGAGAGCGAAATGTTCCGCCACTTAACATGATCCGCGGTTGTTCTTCCTGACTAAAGAATTCCTGTTCATGTCCGTATATTAGTTTGCTCCTTCGTCGATAATACGTTTTTATTACGCGTATCCCTCGCTGTCGGGAAGCCGATTGATGCCATAGCTTGGTGACGCAACCGTTAGCTTTCTCCTTAATATCGTGAAACACCGAACGTTGAACGTTACCGACTTCATGTTTTAGCTGTTCGACATGAATAAATTCCAAACGAATCTATCGCGAGAGACGCGAAGGGCTTATCCGGATAGACGACGATTGGAGATGCAATGCCTGAGCGCTATCATATTCGTGAGAACGGAAGCCGACTTGCTTCAGTGCCCCGTATGGGTGCTCATCGTCAACGTGGTAGGATTGGACATGCTCAAGTCGAAGCTCCCACCAGGTATGCTGCTGGAAAGCGTGTGACATACATTAAACGCTATATAGAATTTCTATGTACAGTTTGCAAACAATATTTGAGGTTTACCTAATTATAGCGAATTCGCGGGTTGAACGCACTAGCTAGTATATGTATATATATACGCACTCGTACATATTAAAGCTGTTCTCAGGTAGAATATAGTCATAATAAAGTCATAATGATATTATAGGACGTCATCATGATGTCATTTGATACTTAAAAATGAACTTATAAGTGGCAAATAAGATCATAATGATGTCTTCATGTGTTATTACTATGATCGACTTCTGTGTTCTACTTGGGCTGTGCACTCTGGTTCTGAGTGTAAAAGTGAAATGCAAATATCTCTAATTATAAAACACATATTTTATTTAACGGCACAATAAAGTATACTGATTTTACAGATTAACCCGTTTCTATATAATATTCAAGTTTTTTTTTCTGCACTATAGACTCAAGTAAAACACAAAAGTCATAATATATCATAATGACATCTTTATGACCTTATTTGTCACTTATTTAAGTAAAAAACTGATGTTATCTGTCGTCATTTTGACGATAAATCATGTCAGCTTGCTACTTCGATTATAAATTCATTTTTAAGTACCAAATGACATCATGATGATGTCCTATATGATACCAGTATGACTTAATTATGGCTTTTTTCCTGAATATTAACGTTTCTTTGCCAAAGGGAATTAGAATAATGCAAATGCTTGTATTATCGTTTTCAAATAATAATTTTTACTATCTTCGTTGTATCTTCTTTTAGTTCTAGCATTACAGAGGCCGGTGGATATAAAGAATAGACCTAGAATACCAATTCCTGACGAGGATCCCTACAGCGTGGCCGGTGTGTCATCGTCCGTAGGTCCTAGCGAAATAATGTCGACGGACAGGGACTCGCGGGAGCAAATCTACATGCAGTCGACGAGTTATCAGCATCGGCGTGCAGAAAGACCGCCGAAATTGCCGCCTCGAGAAAACCTCTATGGCCATGGCATCCCCAAGGTAAATGTTAAAAACGATTAGCTTGTTAGAGCTATGGCGAACAGAAAAATTTAAGAAAAACTAAGTAAGATGTAAGCCAATACTGGAATTTACTTGCAACGTAATTTATTTGCAATATTGATCGGTATTTAGACTGTGCACATGTTGGTGAAATAAGGGACGGAAACTAAGCTGAAAATCAACTAAAAGTTGCAAGTAAATTCCAGTACTGATATAAGCGGTATGTCAATATGGAAATCAATATGTTGTGAATTTATTGCCGCTTACGTTATGGTCTCTACTATGATTGGCCAATTTTCTTAAAATTTTGTTTAAGTTTTTTGAGTTCTATGGCCCTTACGCCATATAATTGAAGAAAACCTTCTACTTTGGCTATTGTTTTAGCCTGATTACGACGATATAGAGGACGACTACGGCAGAACGATGAAGCACCACATGATGGAGGAGAAGCGAAGTAAACACGACGATAGGAAAAAATATGGTGAGGAACGTTATAATACTTTAAAAGATTAATTGTATTTTATTTAATGTGCATTTCGTTTTTTAAACACATCGCACAAATTGTGACTATTTGTTATGTGTTTTAGACGATCCATATTATTGCGGTTTACGAGCACGCGTGCCCAATTTCGTCAAAATGGCGAGAAATGGTCACAGCAAGGTGGGTCCTCCTCCACCTCGTGGACATCCCAGGACACAGCCGGCGCCGTCTTATGTAGGCGCCGCTTACGCTAGTAGTCAATCTTCCCAGATATATGGGCACCTACCGGCCCATCGACCGCCCATTATGTATCATGCCAGAAGTTTCGAAAGCGGGCTTGGTAAGAAATAATTAAGTGATTATCATTTTTTATTTATCTAAAAATAATTGCGTTATTAGGCATGTAAATTAGTTTGTCATAAATGACATCATCACATAATAGACTCTCATATCTGATTAATTTCTTTATTTTAAATTAATATATAAATTTCTTTGTTGCTTTTTATTATTTATTATCTTTTATTACTCCAGATTTATTTTTTTACTCTTTTACGGTATATTTCTTATAAATAATCCCAGTAAAAAGTTTTTCATGCATGAATATGTATAAATACGTATAAACATACATAAACACGCATAAATATTCATAAACATGTATAATTACATATGAGATATGTCCATATATGTGCATACATCCTTCTTTTATAAAATTACTTTTTAGTGTAATAGAAATAATAATAGTAATGTGAAAACATAAAAAATAATTAAAAGAATAATTTTTGTATTGTTTGTTTTAGAAAAAAACAAGTTTGGAAAAATGTAAAAAAAAAATTGCTCACACATAATTACCATGCATAATTTTATATATAATTTTACGTAAGTAATTTTTTTACATTTCTTTAAACTTGATTTTTTCTAAAACAAATAGTGCGAAAATTACCTTTTTAATTATTTTTAATGTTTTCACATTATTATTATTATTTCTATTACACTAAAAAATAATTTTACACACAAAAGAAAAAAGGATGTATGAACATGTATGGACATATTTCATATATAATTATACATGTTTATGAATATTTATGCATGTTTATGTATGTTTATACATATTTATGCATAAAAAATTTTTTACTGGGAAATAGAAAACAATTTTTTTATGAAGTGGGAATAAAAGTAATAACAGTGATATAGTATATAGCTGCTTCATATTAATTAATAATTGTTTTATAATCACGTATATTAGTAATAATTGCTGCTATGATTCCAGATGCGGAGAATAGGAATGAGTCGCCGTATAATCACATATACGGAAGGTTACCGATCCCGACGAGAGGCGTGATACCTCCAACCCCGCGTGCTATGTATATTGGAGAGTGGGATTAGATGTAAGAACTATCTCGGCGTTTGTACTTATAAACTCTCTCTGTATATTGTTAATATACCACATAAATACTCATATTTTTATGCTAATATTTGTGCTTTTATTATTCCATATCCTGGAAATATAAATCATGATTACTCATATTCAGTCATGAGTGGGGGAAGATGATGAGTAGCCTAAATGATTATAATTGAAGTAAATGAAATATGGAAGTTCGTATCTTTATAAAATATTAATTATTGGAAAAAAGTCGATATTATTAAGAAATAAAAATAAACGACTTGGCAGATATATCTTTGCAGTTAACATATATTGCAATGTTAACATTGCAATGTATATATATTTTGTAATTAAATATAACCGCTAAATCCAATTTAAAGTCTTTAAAATTAATTTTGAATGCGGCATTCATCTTAAATATGTCATATCGTTCGCGCGAGTCATATTGGATATTTTATTTTCAATTCAGTAATATAGAAAAGATTAATTATATTGAGTTTTAAAACTTATAGTTATGCTGTAAATAATGACAAATTAGCAAAATAAACGAATTATTTTGCTAATGGAGACAATTAAATTCTTCTATTATTGAATATCGTCGCCGCCAATATCTCATCATTGGACACGTGTACAATACGTCGAACAATTTTAAAATATTTCGGATATTGTACACAGTGTCAAAGAAAAACTTGAGAGAGGTCATACTAGCCTTTTTCCTGTTACTGTTGAAATCGCCCGTAACTATCGCCCATTTTTAGTTTGGAAATTACGTGACTACATACATTTTCTGACACTATCGATAAAATCGTATTGTCGAAAGTAGATGTGGTTCGTCTCTGTACTAAATCCTAAGGATAAAAGCGCGTCGACTATCCATAGGAGGGATAGTTCAATGGGTCCTTGAACAAAAAAATTTAATAAACGTTTATTAAAATTTAACAACTTTTATTGGTATTATGTTGGTAAGTTACACTGTTGGTAATGTAAAATGTCAAGGCTGGTATAACTGATGTTGGTAATGCAAGACTCTTCAAGATTGCACGCTGGTGCTGCATTACCAGCACGTTTCGTTCAACAGAAACTGAATGGTTCGAGTCTCCGCTAAAGTATTGTCAGGTTACCCGTTACTGTCCTTTACGGATCAGCTGATTAACTAGACTTGTCAAACGCACGATCTTTCCTCATGTATGGTTTACATTCTACAATAAAAAAAAACATATCTTACGCAATAATTTGCTGTAATTTGAAAAAATACGAATTATGCTATACATATATATGTAACACTCGTACGCCAATTAGAAAACATGTTGTCGGCTGATCGCAATTACATTTCGCCAGTGATTATATTTACCAGTGATTGCGTCTGGAGAATGAGAGAAAAGTATATGGCATACATGCACAGATATGGACACTCATACACATAGATATATAGTTATGTACATATACACGAACAATTTTCCAACAAAGGAACGATTCGGACAAGAGACAAGAGAGGCTGACAATGAGTATATCAGAGTTTCTTATCATCTAATTCCTAATTATTACAACATTAAATAAAGCGACTTTGGAATTAAATCCGCTTGCAAACCGTTTTATCAAGCATTCGTTACTGTGTTTACTGCCTAGAGAGTATTTAGTTTTTGACGAACATTAGAGAAGATATTATGGATCGAAATCTACAAAAATGGAGACATTATTTACTCGTGCAACCGCCCCTAATACTGCTATTGATCTCTTTGTCGATGTCAGGTAACAAACCATAATCTTTCATCTTAGTACAATGGCTATATGGACGTATTTTTTTGCAGGTACTGTTTTCACAGATTTGTTAGTATATCGCACATGCCTTGTAACATTGAAATTAAACGAAACGGAGTGCCTTATGTTTCATACCAATAGCACTAGCAAGGAGGCGCTCAAAATTAATGGTTTGGCCCAACCGTATGTGAGCAACATTTTGATGGGTAAATCCTTCATAGAAAGCATTACCCCATCACTCCTAATGTTATTTCTGGGTCCGTGGAGTGATAAGTATGGCAGGAAGCCTCTTCTATTTTCCGGATATATAAGTAATCATATTTTTATTTAAGCACTAAAGATCTAGCTTAAAAATCATTAAGGTTCAGATACTCAGTTGTATAATCATATTTTTGTTATGAATATCATTGTAAAAGAGAAACTTTTTATTGTTTTTAGAAGTATTATATATTGAAATAAAATCTCAATAGAAATTAAAATTCAAACTTTAGAGTTAAATGGCTTTGAGCTAAGCTGGGATTTAATACTAATTAAGTAATAACTCTAAATTATGAAAAAAGTCATTAATGGTGGAAAATGTTACAATGATATAAAGTATAAAATCTGATATGATGTATTGTTAGAAATAATTGGAAGTACCATTGATATGATTCCTTTGTAATTTAATATTATTACTTAAAACCCAACTTGATTCAGGGAGTCAATTATGTAATTTTTTTCCCAGGGCCAAAACGTAAAAGGTGAACATATACATATATAAAAATTGTTACATTTTCACTCTAGAGAAAAAATTACATGATCGATTCCCAGAGCTCTTCAATTTTATTATAAGTCTGTTTTCTGTGGCTGAACTAGTGTACACTTTTGAAACTTAAAGTGAGAAAGATATACGTTTGATATTTGTTTAAAGCGAAAAAGACAGTTCTAGAACAGCCTAGTGCAGGAACAGAAAACAGACTACTTGTTTCAATTGTATATTGAATTATAGTAATTGCTATAATAGATAGTAATAGACAAGAGAATATAATCCAGCAAATTATATGATTAGAAATTTCATAATTCACGTATTATTATTACAATCAATCCATGACGCTTTTAGGAAATGTAATAGAGTTGTTCACAGTTTTCGTAATTCTAGGTGTATCTTTAACTTATATTCTACTCTCTATAATGGCTAGTTGGGATATTGTACCTTGGTATTTCCTGATAGCCTATATTCCTGTTGGTCTTTTTGGTGGCCTAAGCGTATTGATATTAGCTTCAACGTGTTACATCACTGATTTAATAGACAGTAAAGAGCGGGCATGGCATTTAGCCGTTTTACAAGCGTTCATCTCTCTCGGTCTATTAATTGGATTGCTTTCTGGTCCAGCGATATTTGTCACATGCGGTTACACTGCTGTATTCAGTGTTGCAACTGTGCTCTGCATTCTGGCAACATTGTACATATTACTTTTTGTCCCGGAAACTGTACGGAGTCAAACTTCCGTAGGTGTTTCAAAGCGTTCATTAAGTCAAGTCAATTTGAAAGAAATAGATGCACAATCTAACTTACAATTAGAAACTAGATTATTAGAAGATGAATTATAATGAATATTTCAAATGAATAGCGAATAATCATCGCTTTTTATTTATCTTTACAGGGTATCTGCAATGTATTTGACTTAACGTTAATAAAAGATCTTATTGATACGTGTGTTAAGAAGAGATATGGATTCAATAGATCGTTAGTCTGGAGCTGCGTAGCTTGTCTTACATTTCTCTTGATTGTTTTTGAAGGCTCGATCAGTATCGAATATCTGTTCGTAAGCGCGCGGCTTGGCTGGACTATACAACAGTATTCTGTTTATAATGCTGTAGATATTGTAGTGCAAGTGCTTGGTACAATATTTGGTATCAAAATAATGCGGAAATATGCAGGTACGTTTAACAACACTTTAACACAATTCGTTACTTGTTGTAATAATTTATCAAGAATTTATGAAGTATTTTGAATGATTTAGGATTTCCAGAGACTGTAATTGCTATGGTATCTATTATATCGTCTTTTGGTAGTGTCTTGGCACGTGCCTTTACATGGTTGTCTTGGCATATGTATTTAGCAATAGTTCTAGGAATGTTTGGTGACATATCTCGACCGATGATACGTGCTATATTATCCAAGGCAGTACCTGTGCAAGACGCAGGTAAAACCTTGTATTTTGATTTTAATAAATGGTTATAAAATAAACTATAAAAAGAAAGAAAACTTATCCAGCAAGTACCAGCTAACAACAATATAACCGTTAGTATAATTTCCTATTTAATATAATTGTAGTATAATATATAATAATTATATAACACATAATGGTTAAGTGGGAAATTATAATTAAGGTTTATGTTACTATTTGTTGCTGTTTGCTGCGTAGGTTCGTGCCAGATAAAATATTCTTACTCTGTGTACAATCTCTAATGATTTTCTGAAATACTTACATTAATCTTGTAAAGAATATATTAAAAAATGTATTTACATATATATTTCAACAGGGAAGGTTTTCTCTGTGGCTATGGCTCTAGAGACACTGTTACCATTTGCAGCAGATTCTCTGTATACTTTTCTGTACTCCCACTACATGCCACCTCTATATCCTCTTCCAGTGTGGTTTTTATCGGTAGTATTTTACGTCATAACTATTGTGATATTAATATATATTCAAATACAAGTAATAAAAAACACCACAGTGTCTTATATTCCAATAACAGAAGATAATAATGACTCGTCGATATCTTATCAAGAAGACACAAATACAAATATTCCTGCTCAATAAATCAAATAATTAGCTAAATGTGAAAAGAAATATTCTCGTATGTATATTTTTAACAATATGTAAAGTATTCTTTATATGTATTTATAGATTTTTAGATTTGTGAAATTTTTATATTATATATACAAATTTGTAAATAAAAGCCATGTATATACACTCTTTAAAATGTTTTAATTATTATTATGAACAATTTCCAATTAATAGCCTCGCATTTTTATAATTTGATGCTCGATGTGTAATCTATTTTTATAATAGAAGGAAAGAAGGTGTTAGTACTTTTCGTATATATGTATTTTTTCTATGACATTCTTAACATTTTTTTATATTGCAATATTTTACAAGCAAAAGTACAAAATAGAAATCGTATGAAATTAAAGTAGGCACATAAAAATATGATAACAATTTTATGACAACTTGGGATTAACAAAAAATTAAATTGTACAACTTCTTTGTAGATACATTGTTATTTTAATATTATTAACTTTGATTATTTATTCAACAAGCTTTAAAGAAAAATTGTACATATTACCTAAACAGCACAGATTTCCAAGGAATGTCCTTATGTTTTACGAACGTCCTAAGATGTTCCCAGGACGTCTCTCAGATAAAGTGTGCTATATAGATCGAGTATTTATAGAGACAGAAATTCTATGTATATTTTTATATTATTTCGTAAGTTACATATTTAAAAATATAAAGCAAAATTATTTTCAATGTAAAAGAATAAATTTATTTACTGAGAATTTCTCTCTATAAATATTTTAACTTTTCACAACTTATCGTAATAATCCACATGATCGGCCGAATTGTATTTATGCTCTTTCAAGACTTGCACAAGGCGATTAACAGTCTGCTCTGTGGTCAATACAGTTTTCTTTTCTCGCATCTCGTTAAATGCCTTTTTAACTTTAGTATCAATTATTTTTTCGCAAACCATTGTAAACATATCCGTGTCGACAGGTCCTGGTGCGTAATTCAATACGTTGACATCGGGATTTTCTAAAGCAAAAACCTGTACGAAGAAAAAAGCATATTAAAAAAAAATGATATCTACTTCGTGATTATGTGGATAGAGTATATTAAAAAAACATGTATGCATACCTTAAAGTACATTTCTCGTGCTGCTTTCACCGAGCAATATTGACCACAGCCAATGCCTGCTTGAATACCATACAAGGATGTAATATTGATAACTATCTTCTTAATAGTTTTATTATTAAATGTATTCATGGCCACCGTGTTTAATACAGCAGGTATGAAAAAGTTCAGATCGTAAAATTCTCTCCAAACGTTTACGTCGCATATGTCATTTACAGCTTGAGAAACATCGCCCATGGAGCCTACATTATGTATTAGAATCATTCGATCAAACGCATCGGGAGTAGTTCCCTTCAAAGATTCCGATAGAAATTCTAGAACATTATAAAAGAAATACATTTTTTTTAGCAATTATATCTGTATTTAAAAAATACGCTTGAAAATGGAAACTTTAATTTACCTTCGAACTTTGTATCAGTCGATTTACTTAAATCTGCACTAATAGTACAAACTTTCACTTTAGAAGGTATATTTTTCGCGACTTCTTGCAACGCATCTTTATTTCTCGCTAATAAAAGAACACGTGAGCCTTCCTCCAGCATCGAACCAAATGTTATCGCAATCTGGCGACCGATTCCACGACTTGCACCAGTTACCAGTAGGAAAACTTTGCCAGACAATGCTTCAATCGACATGATTGTCTTATATATATGTTGTAAATTTATGGAAACTAATTATTAAGCTCTGGCTTGTATTCTGTTGATGGCTCTGTTGATGGATTTATTTGTAATTCCTCTGTATTATTTTGTTCTTGCTCCGCTTGTATGGTTGTTTGAAGTACATCTGCTTTCAGAAGATGAACTAATTCGCTGGCTGTTAAAGCCTACAGATAATATAAATATCAAATATTATATGTTAACAAACAAAATAAACTCTGATGAGACTCAACTGAGTCTAATTATATCCATCTATATATATTCTGATAAAACTCTGTTACAGATAATGATAATTATTTAAAATAGCCCCCCCCCCACCTAAAATCTTAATAAAAATATACTTTATATTAATAAAAAAATGCGGTAGTCGGTCTCGTGAATCAAGTTATTAAACGTTAAAGTTAGAAGGAAGATATCTGTCATTCTGACTCGATATAGCACTATGTATACGTTCTATTTTAATTACAAATTTACTGCTTTAAAAACAAATTCACTGCTTTAGAAAGATAAACTAACTATTTTAAAAACATAAATTCACTGCTTTAAAAACACAAATTCACTGCTTTACAAATAAAAATTCACTGCTTTAAGCACTCAAATTCTTTGCATTAGCAGTGAATTTGTGTTTATGAAGCAGAGAATTTGTGTTTTTAAAGCAGTAAATTTGTGTTTGTAAAGCAGTAAATTTGTGTTTTTAAAGCAGTAAATTTGTGTTTTTTAAAGCAGTGAATTTATATGTTTTTAAAGCAGTGAATTTATTTTTAAAGCAGTAAATGTGTTTTTAAAGCAGTAAATTTGTGTAATTAATAAACAAAACATATACACAGCGCTATATATTTGAGTCGGGATAACAGATATCAACTCTTCTAAAGTCTCCAACTTTAACGCTTAATAACTCAACTTATGATACTGACCGCCGCGTTTTTTTGCCAGATTCTTTTGTTTTGAGTGAAAACATATCGAATAAGTGTATTTTTATTAAGATTTGAGGTGGGGGGGGGGGATATTCTAAATAATTATCCAGATAAGAGAGAGATCTGATAAATGTTAAACATATATAGTCTGATATATAGACATATTATGTTATATTTGATTGATATATAGACAGATGTTATGTATATGTTATATTCTAAGCCTTAGAGTCTAAGGATTTTATTGTTTATATTATTTTGAAAGATTCTTATACAACACGCAATGTTTAGATGAAATTTTTATTGGATTTAGCAAATAAATGTTATAAGAATCATATTCTCAATCATTATCATCATAATCATATCATTATTATTATTGACCATTATCATCCAGATACTCACCTGCAGATGAGGAGCTATGTGCCGTACCAGAGGATTCGACGCCAATTCAGCTTCTTCTTCAGACTGAGGATTGTTCCCAGAGGTGATTAAACGCGCGATACAGTCCTCCTTTGCCACTGACAGCGACGTCACAAGATCCTTTTTCGTGGTACCTCCCTGAAGCACTTTCAATCTAGAATCTGTCAGAGAAAAGGAATTAGAATTATCAGAAAAGAATTAGAGTCAAAGGCGTGAATCAGTAATTCTTACACAGCTTTTGTAGATATTGCTCCGAGTCGGACAATCGGCGATGACTTGGACGGTCTTCGTCCAAGAAAGAATCTTCAAAACGATCGTTCGGCGTGTCGTCGTCGACCGCAGCTTCCGCACGCGTTCCGCACCAAGGATCACTAGCATCTGTTTTCATTCTAAATCATGTAGTTATCTATAAATGACCTTGCTTAATAATTGCGCCACACTCACTGCACTTTCGCTTTTTTCCTCTGTTAGTCAGCTGAATCAAGCTGAATACACGAGGAGATTGCGTCGTATTGTGTAAGAACGTTATACTCCCATGATAAAAGCATTCCGTCACCGTGGGTGGACCAGTGAAAACAACAGATATCGATAGATATATACTGTTAAGAGTTGTATCGACGAACGATATTTTAACATTTAAATCGATTATAACATGGGATTTTTTTACCGATTTTATATTGTATTATATATATATATATATATATATATATATATATTGAGTGAAATCATCGCGCGCATTATTATATTAGTTAAGATATATATATGTAAATGTATATATCTTATAATTATGTTTATGCAGTTTAGCTTTATGTTTGCTGATAACACTAATTTTTGTTGATAATATATATATCTGTCCATGTTATTACAAAGTTTAACACAGTAAGAATAAATTACGATAAACAAACAAAAAATCGTTCTAATAACTCTTGTCGCAAATTAAATACGAAATAAATAATCGTATATGTATATACACACATAATTGCAATGTGTCTTATCGGACTTATTATGCCCGACCTTCCATTTTCACATTCAGGGCTATTTTATGCGGAATATTATGGAGATAAATGTGTATTAACTTTATTCACTTATGATTCTTTTATACGACGAGACGTTATTGAAGACTTTCTATATTTTTGTGGGTATATTTTATTTCTGTCTTGCATCGATAGCAGATCACATTGATTAATACAGAGACAAATAGTCGATTATATTACAAGAAATACTGCACAAGCGAAATTTCTTCATAATATATGCCTGCAATATATATGACGTCTACAATTCGTTTCTTATACACATATACACATATAATGCATATAATTAGCTTGACGAATCTTTCAAGCCATAACAGATATAACGCAATTGTATAAAAAAATAAATAAACTTATATTAGTATTCGTTAATGATTCGATAATAATTTGCAATCGAAATAACTTATTATATTCTAATAACAAATTTACGTGTGCTCGATTTCTTTTAAAATTTTCCAAAGGTCATATAGATTTAATTATGTTGAGAACATAATTATCCTCTATTATTTCCTCAAAGCATTTGATGAAGTTAGATATTATAAGAATACGCTATTGATTTAAGCCTGTGAATTTTGAGGGGTACAAGTAGCGCGATTTTTAAAGTTAAGAGATCAAATTATGATCACAAATCTATACGTGCACGCACCTTATTTCACGTATAAATACTGTACTGATTTAACGTGCCAAATTTTAATTTTGTATTGCAACAAACGAGCTCATTACATGGGATTGCGTGAAGATTGTGATTTCAAATTTTTTCGGAAAACATCGAGCTGAAAACTATACTGTTAAAAATGTCATGAAATTTTATGTACTTTTAAGTTACACAAATTAAATTCAATTTTATGACACTAATTAAATTTAATATATCTGCAACTGAAAAGTATGTTTATGTACATGTACATGAAATTTAATGTACTTTTTATAAAATTTTACGAAATTCAGTAATTTTTTATTAAATTTTATATAGATTTGCATGAAATTTAAAATATAAGTAAACGTTAAATTTAAGTTACTCAACATTAAATATTTTTAATTCTACCTGTTTGAAATTTGCTTCCATTACATGTAATGGAAGCAAATTTCTTTTTTTTTAACAGTGTACTATATATTATTGTATGATAACCGCTAAGAATATCAGCGTTAATATGTCACCGAAAATTTATTTTTTACATCATCAATTCTTTGAAAAGCAGCTTGCACTCATACGAACAAGACGAAAAATTTCATCAACAAATCGTGCAGATAAAGTGCAAAAAATATTTTTGAAATAATTTTTTAGTTATGCTGATCAATTACAAAAAAATTTTTTTTAATATTAACGCAATTTATTTAATTTCAATAAAAAATTTATTAAACGCGAAAAAAAGTCGTATGTATCTGTGCGTGTGTATTTGTGATCATATTTGGTATCAGAACTTTAAAAGTCTCACTACTTGTAGTCAAAATTATCAATTTTAAATCGACGCCCCATTCTTATAAGAGCTAATTCTCTTGGGGTAAATGATGGAGGGCTATATTCCTGACACAAAGCCACGTGACTTTTGGAAAATTTTCGTGGACACACATTACATAATCATTGATCTACCTTAATTCGAACTAAAGAAAAGTACATATGTGTGTAACGCGTTCTTCCCATTATTGTTCGTTGAGATTATTCATAACAGAATATGTCTCACGAGACAATTGGAATGTTTCTTCTCTTCATACTGATACGCCCTGAAGATAGTAGAATTATTGACACAGATATTGACTAATATTCCGCTGTCCTTATGGCTATTCTATTATCATTTTTCTCTCTCTGAATTGCAGTGACAAACATCGAATCAACATGTGCACATTATTCATTGCGTATAATATACATGTGCACTCGCAGATGCACTCAACAATAAATACACGGCATACGAGAATATAACAAGTACTCTTTGTATATAGCTATATTTATTGCTATTCAATAATTAAAAGTAGAATACCGCAAGGTCTACTCATCATCTTACGGATAAGTGTCAATCTGTCATGTCCTTATAAATAATGCTCTCTCAATTATAAACTAGAACAGTGTTTCCCAACGTTTTTTAATATAAATCTTTTAGCATGTACAAGAAGATTGTTAACACTCCAGTGGTTTCCTCTTTTTATAAATTTTATTTTCTTATGACATCTTTTACAATGAAAAAAAAGATATTCGTGTTTAGAATATCCTTTTTCTTCTTATTTTACTTCCTAATATATATTATTTGAAATAAATTTTTTTAAATTACACATTCATAATAAAAATTTGATTAATTAAGCAAATACATTATTTTTTCTTATGGCGCACAAAAGTAACATGACAAAGAAATTATTTAAATTATATTGACTTAATCGTGTGTTAAAATAATATGTACTGAAATACAGAGTGTTTGATCTGGCGTGGAAAATACTTTATCAATTATCTATTTGCTTAATATGCTATTTAATCTGCTAATAACTATGGCATTACTAAACTATTGCTTAAATAGACATACTCTCCTATATTATATTTCTCTCTCCAATAAAGTAGTAAATTTGTCACAAATAGGAAGCACTGTTCTAGAATCACAAATCTGTGTACACATTCAAGATATTATTCTTTAAAAATATCTGTGCTGGAATAAATATGTATCACGTAATGTACAACCATAGAAACACGTCCAGCTTTGCTCGCACTCTTTACTCACTTGCTTTTATTGCAATTTTGTGCTAAAGCTATTTATAGAAATTTTCTTCTTCCGTCTACGTCATAATTACAATCATAACTTAGAAAGATGAAGAATTACCTTCAAATTTTTAAATAGACGACATTGGTGCAATCATCTTTTGCTATTAAGCAGCTAAAGCTAAATAAGTACTGCTTGTACAATTTTTTAATATAAATATTTCACTGATTTAATCGCGTATTAAAGATACATAAGCCATATAAGGAAGAGAGAAATGCACTCAGTATAATATAACCGACAATCCTCACAATAAAATTAGGTATTGTACGTGTCATTTTAAATATTTCCATTTTTTTACATATATATGTTTCCGTTTAGTAACTATACAATAATTGTACATTATTATGTAACAATTAGATATCTATTCAAGTCCCAAATTATTTCAAATACAGGCCTAACAAATAAATCTATCACGCTGTTAAAAGCCTATAAAATGAACAAGTTTGCTAGAGTTAATCAGAGCTAAATCAAATTGAATTATAAAAAAATATTTATGTATGAAAATATCATACGAAAATATAATATTCATTTCTGCGATTTATAAAACTGATAACGTTTGTTTAATATCAGCAACAATGTACTTGTACTTCAAAATACATAGTTAATTACGTGTTTTTAGATATGCTGATCACAATACAAGCTGGTATCATCTATTATCTACCTGTTATGTGGGAACTCATTGTAACACAGAGAAGATCTAGATATCACTGATTATATCTATATCACTTATACACAGAAGCTATAAATTTCTACATTTAAATTACTACAATTTGAAAATGCGTTCGTTTTGGGGTGATCAAAGTCGATTCAACTTGAATGATTTAAATTTGAACGACTTTACACTCAAAAACATTCGCCTTTTCTTTTTCTGTACTACCAAAAATAACGCAGTTCGAAATGGAATACATCTTACTCTAGACCGCCTTCTTCTTCTAGTTTCGATAAGAATTTTGCGACTCTGTAACTTGGTTCCACTTGACGCGCCATATCTATTAGGCAAAGCAATTTCTTGATACCGATAAATACTCTGAAATCATAAAATGCATGGTGATAAAATATATCATAATAAATTATACATATATTAGACGTTGAGTGGCTTTCCACTCGGTGCGATTGACTCGTGATCTGTAGATCGGGTTCAATCCCATACGTGATTTTTCGCGTTTAAAGAACCGAAAATAATATCTGGTTATTAAGATCTTTGATCACCAGCGCCGTTTGGATCCGGCGTTAAACTGTAGGTCCCATATACTATATATCTTACCGTTTTCCTTGAAGCTTTGCATGCAAGGAAGCCATTTCGTGTTTTGAAAAGAGATCAACTTCGTCTAACACACTTAACAAATGATCAGGGCTTGACAAATTAGGCACATGAAGGATAGTATTAAATGCTGGAAGTAATTCCAGGTCATCTAAAACTTGTCTGCAAAAAGAAATATATTATTAAGAATACATTTTTTTAAATCACTTCCTTCCATGGAAAAAAATCTGTATCTTACCTGCGACTAGAAGTGCATAGAATTAATAGTTTACGGCCAGGTGGCGGCGATTTCTTTAATAACACCAAAAGTGCTTGCAATGTTAGATTAGAGTATCTTGGTCCAATTGGACCATAATCCAGAAGACGTTCAATATTATCAACTAAAATGCAGCTGAGCTGCGAACGATATGCATCGTCAAACACCTAAAATGTACAAATGGCAATTATTTTAAGCTTTACACCAGATATAATTACAAATATATGTTTATAGATAAATGTAAGAAAAATATATAATAAGTTATATCATAC